TATATATATATATATATATGTATATATATTTATAATTACGTTTTTCGATAAATAAATAATTAAAATAAACATATTACAATAATAAAATATTTAATAAAATAAAATTAATTAATTTAAATTTTAATAATTTTGAAGTAAGGTATTTTAATATATTATTATCGTTTTAAAAATACTTCTTTTATCATTAAATTTTACAATAACTTTTATCTCAATTAAAATTTATTCTAACTTTAACTTACATTTTCGAGATTGATTTTTTATATTAAGTTATTTAATTTTTTTTTCATAATTATTTTCAAATGTATTAATACGGTTTACATTGAATGTGGATCCGAGGCGCTCCAAGCGTTTCCTCTCTACCAAAGTGCGTAACTAATGGCTCAACTCTCCTTCTCCGATCGGCTCGGCAAGGGGTGACTTGTAAGAAAACACTCCGACGCTCAAGTCAGTGAGATGTCTTCCAAGGTCTTAATGTATTTCACAAAATCAGACTTTATCGGGTCATTAGTTCTGTATTTATAGGCTCTGTAATTGTCCAACCCATTAAATGTCATTGAATGTCATTTAATGTAATATATTTTGTGCCTCATCATTTATTAATTTCCTTATATCCAGCATAATTTGCCTAATATCACTTGTTGATTATATCACTTGTTGATTAAACAGTAATAATTACTCACCTTTATTACTCATTATAATTTCACTAAATGTCTACCAATTGATTCCTTCCTATTGAACGAGCTGACTACTTTCGGTGTCTACACCATGTAACCATACAGTACAAATACATAATTAATTTTACTACAGAAACTAAACTAATTATTGTTAATAAATACATTTAGTGTATTTCCCTACCTCTCGTTTTATGTTCCGTCCAAAATCGAAACGAAAACATACGCACGTACGAATTTTCGTGACAAAATATAAAAAGCAAAAAAAGTTACCCTTATCTTCACATATTTACATTTGAAATAGCGATTTTTGAACACTGTGTACTGTCTGGTTACTGTCCTTCTGTTTTGTCTTTCGAAAACTTCCTTTTTGTCTTTATTAATACAATAAATGAACTTTTTATAACTTAAGACAAATCTCATTAGATACTTATATTTCCTTCAAAAATTATAATGAACTAAAAATATAAAAACATGGCACATGATTCTGTATCAGGTTCAATAATTTGTAATTAACTGTCATAAAACTTCATTATCTCAACATTTTACCTTGAGGTATTAGGTTTGTAATACCAAATTAATTAACATGTTTTACACTATATGGTGGTTGGGTAAGTTTATTAATATTTTGAATTGTGAGGCTGGTGATATGAATAAAATTTGAAAATTAATGTTTTATATGCAGAAAAATGGAGTGTGTTGTACCTTCAATCACATATGTCCCATCACAATAAATGTAAAGAATTATCAAATATAGGCCACAGCTTGCTCATGTCAACCATCTCTTGGGTCAGGCCAGATATGTGTAGGACTCTTATCCCTATCTCTATGCCTTAAACAACTACCACACAAAAGTTTCATCCCATCTCATCACCCTTTTGCTGTCCTTCCTAAGGACTTTAGTGACTCTCAAAATAGGTGCATTGGATCAAAACATGTATACACAAAATGCTCCAACATATTCTTAACCCAGTCATGCCATAAAACATTACACAAATTGACAAGAGAAAAGAGAAATTTTACACTCTTACAATCATAAATTAATAGTTAACATGATTTTGGATGATTGGTTGATTTACACTGAGAGTGCATAAAAACTAAAGTCAATGATGAAGATTTTGTTTGTTAAGGTTAGTTATGGAGAAGGGAATGTGAAAGTTTTAAAGCTGGTGAAGCCCCCGTCAACTATGAGATTGTGACCTGAGATAAACTTTGCTTCATCTGATGCCAAATACAATGCAGCCTTTGCCACATCAATGTCCTCACACTTAGCACCTTTTAACCCAACAAAACCATTCACAATACCCTCTATCTGTTCTTGGGGTAAACCAGGATAAAACTTTTGTATTTGAGCCAAAACCATAGGTGTAGGAATTGGAGCTGGTGATATGCAATTGATCCTCACCCCAACTTTGCATAACTCACTGGCTACAGATTTCACTACCCCAGGTATTGTAAACTTTGATATGGTATAAGGATGAGGCCCAAGCCCACCCATTACCCCACTTATGCTTGATGTGCATAGAATGGAGCCTGAGCCCATGGGTACCATCACCCGGGCTGCATGCTTTATACCAGCAAGCATTCCCCTTATGTTGATTCTCATGACTTTGTCAAACTCATCAAGGTCTAGATCTGCTATGCTTGGGGGAACCGATGGGCCTGGGATGCCAGCATTGTTGTACATGATGTCCAGCTTGCCATAGTGGGCCATGGCAACATTCACAGCTTCTTCAACTTGGGCCTCCACAGCAATATCACATTCCACATAACGGGCTGATGGGCCCAGGTCCTGTGCAACTTGTGGGCCAAGGATGGTGTCATTGTCAGCAATGATGACTTGGGCCCCATGGTGGACAAAGTGATGGGCCGTGGCCTTGCCAAGTCCACTTGCTGAGCCTGTTATGATTGCCACTTTTCCCTCTAGCCTGCTTTTGGAAGCGAGATGGGTGAATATGAATGATGATTGTGAATGATGATGGGAAAGAAAAGAAGTAGATATTGTGCAGATGATGGGAATAATGGAATAGTCATAAATGGTGATGGCCTCTATCTAAATAATGCTGTCACCTTTATCTTCATGTCTAAATCAGAAAGCATAATTTCTTTTTCGCAAAGTTGGAGGATGATGTCTTGGACCAAACCAAATCCTCTTCCCACAAGATTGATTTAGATTGCATGTTCCTTAACCCCTTCAAAAAGTAACACCAAACAAGGAAAGCAAGTACCCTTGGTAATGGGATTTGCTTTCACATATTTAGAACAACAAAGTTGACAGACCTTTTCTTTCTTTCTTTCTATCTATATACAAACTTCACTAAATCTTTTCTATGAACATTTATATAAATTCAAATAAACTTTTAAAGAAGACAGAAATACACAGGAAGAAAATAATAATGATCTGAGCTAGGACATTATTATTACAGTGCCACTAACTTACAAATTCTGGTTCAGAATGTGGTGACCAAGAAGAAAATGGCTTGGTTGTGGTAAAGGGGACTGAGATTGGTTTCAAATTTGTGTGCTGGATGGATCCATTATTAGTTGGGAAATGTAAAAGAATAGCTTAATTAGAAGCTGACACGTTTAAAAATAAAATTGGGCCATGAAATCGCGTTAGCTGTTTGTGTTTGGTAGATCTACAGCATGAGAACATGCAAATTGGAGGCAGCTAGCACCATTTCTTCCATGTGCTTCACTTGTTTAAATTTATTTCCATTTTTCTGATAACTTCAAGGCTATGTACTTAACTATATATATATATATATATATATATATATATAATATATATATATATAAATATCTACAGTGTGTTGTTTTTTCTTTGTCAACGCCACTGACTCAAATTCAATTAACTATTGCTCTTAGATTTTGGCAGTAACCCTTTTTCTTTCACTTTTTCTTTCACTTTTTCTTTCTTATCTGATATACATTGAATTAACCGTTCACATCTGGTGATGACACAGAAAGAGAGAAAGAGTTATAGGACAGATTTCATCTGATATTAAGAACAGGATATACATAGTTCTTATGTTTTTACTTCCTATGTGTTGGAATATGTATAAACTCAAATCTGAAACAAGTTAGTTCCGAGCAACAGCATTACCATTCCACTATCCATTTCTAGAAAGAAAATGGAAAACTTAAAGAGAATAACTTTTTCCTCCAATATATAAATAAAAGCTTGCTCCAGAATAACGCAGTGGAGATTTTGAAAGGGTCTCGGATCCCAGAAGAAAAAAAACAAAACTGATGTAGTTCATAACAATGCTACTTTTGTGATATCTATTAGTTCACAAGAAGGTGGGGTGAAACTGTTAACAAGTTCACATTTTCAAGACCAATTTGTCTAAACACAAACTTTGAACAAAAGTTTCTGCTATGAAGGATCAAATTTGTTTTTCATTTCCTTACAAAGAAAGAATTTAGATAAATAATAGCATTCATTAAATGAAGAAGGACTTAAAAGTCTAGCAATGGTAGTAAAGAGCTTTAAAGAGACTCACCTTCTTTCACCAACCATAGTTGCATAGAATCTGGTGCGTTTTTTGAAGCAAATTGGCTAGGTGTGGTGTGCTTGAACACCCTGCAAAAAGATTAATTAGTTAACATAATCAGAAGAAAAAGTTTACATAAAACAAAGAATAGTTGAAACCTGGAAGTGATGATTAATTAAGAAGAGAGAAGACATGAAGCAAAATAATTAATGAAGTGATTAAGGTTTGATGTGAGTGAGTGGGAATGAAGGGATTGATGTTGAAGATGAGGAACCTGGTTAGTGTTGTGAGCATGGCTACTACTGGTGTGAAGATCTGAAGAAAAGAAGAAGAGGTGTGGAGTGTGTACTTTTATGGATCTCAGGTTAAACTCAAAGCACAGAAAGAAATGAAGGTTGATGACAGTATTTATGGAAGGAGAAGGCAACATTTTTGTCTCGGTGTTGTGTTGTGTCTATACTATTATTATATTAAGACCACATTTCCTAAAATACTTTTCTAATAATCAAATTTATAAATCAACAAAAAGAATTATTGAGTTAAAACTGATATTATATTTAGTTTTTATCATAATTAATAAATTTGAATTAGTTAAAAAAATTATAAGTTATTTCTTACTACTAACTTCTTGAAGTATGGTGATTATTGCTGCTTTAAGAGTTTTGACATTGTCCAATACGAATATTTTCTGTTATCGATAAAAATTTATTAAAAAAATAAGATCATGAGTAAATTTCACGAAATGCATGTCTTTTAAGTCAAAGATAATTACAAGTTGCATGCTTCAATGGGATGCAAATAAGAGAGACAGTTTAGGAATGAAACCAAACGCAAAGTAAATATAACAATTAAAATTAATAAAAATATTATTTTTAAACACGTTGCTTGACGCAATGTATAAGATCACAATTAAGATGCATCTGTTTTTTTTAATAATAAAATCCAAATTATGAAAAGTGTTTGCATCAAAACAATTAATCTCATGAAGTTAAAAAAATAGAAAAACATATTTATTCAAATATTTATTCTTTGGTTTTAAAGAAGATTTTGAAAAAAAAAAACAATATTTGAGGTAAAGCAACAAATTCAAGATATATTTACTTTTTGTTTAAACATTTAATGTCTAACAGTAACCTCTCTATTCATGTATATATATAGGTTACAATTAGGTATTAAATGTCTTAATAAAAAGTCAATACATCTTAAATTTGTATAATAGAAATAAAGTAGTGGTAAATATTTGGTTTATAAAAAAAATAGAAAACAGAATTATACTAATTTTCTTAAATGATATTAGTTTAATTATAAATAAAAAATTAATTAGCTGAATTTTATTCTATAAAAGTTTTTATTTTAAAAAAATATTTCCTACTTCTTTATATATATAAATATATATATATATATATAT